AAGAACTGCATAGCGATTGCAAACTCACACAATAAAAACTATCTGATTATTTTAAATATATAACGAATCGGTAACTTGCAAAAAGCTGTGAATCATCTCCGGATTGGGTAAATTGATACGCGATGGAAATTACTAATCCGATCCAAACTTACAGACGTCGCTCGTGCTTAAATTCCACATCGACCAGGTCATGGATGGGACAGAATTACTCCAAGCCCATCGGGAGTTGCGCCTGACAATACTGCTGCCTGTTGAGGTCATCGATTTCGCAAATGCATTAACCTCCCGTTGAACAGCGCATGCGTTATAAAATAGATATATTTATTTTTGTCCTTCGCACCCGACAAAATCGAAAGAGTAATATCGTTCTGATATTATTGTCCACGATGTTCTTTTTCACCTTTATAAGTATTTTAATATATCAAAGTCACTTGTCTCTGATTTCGCAGTAGGGCATCTTAAAAGATAGCTCTGTTTTGGACCTGATAGTTTCTACAACAGAACCTATTGGAAGATTTGTAATAGTTACAGTGTATTAATTTACTGATTCCGCTTTTTTGCAAAAATTGAGAACAAACAAAATAATACGACGGTACACAGTTCAATTTAATCGTACAGGCAGAGGGGCGAACATTTGGAGAAATAGTGCAAAAATTTTCAAATTCGAAAGCAAATCATTTATTTAAGGCCCTAATTAATGTAGTGTAAATTTAGAAATAACAACTATTAAATAATTGAATTAACTTACAAATAAAATGGCCGTTGTTTATATCTGTTAAATCAATGGACACTGTTGCTAATGAAAATGGAGAAGCAAATTATCCAATCGAATTTTTAATTTTCATTAATATGCCGGGAAACCACACAATTATCGGTCGAAGATTCTTTTTATGTGAATTGTTGTTAACCAAGTACGTTACCACCACCCATAGATATTTAGAAAACCTAAGGCATAATAGATGCTTTGTCGATCTTTGCAAAAGTGGCTTTTTTCTATTGTGACAAAGTAGCAAACGAGCTGGCGGTTCACCTGATGTTAAGTGATAACCGCCGCCCATGGACATTTGCAACACCCGTAGGGTTGCAGAAGCGTTGCCATCTTAAAATAAAGTGGGCCCCGGCTACCTCACTCACCAGATGAAATGTAGAAGTATAATACTTCCACTTCACGCCGGTCTTCTGTGAGATCGTGGTACTTACCCGGACGGACCTGCCCATTCGTGCAACAGCGAACACCGTTGCGTGGCCCTACCACAGTCAATCCTGTCTCAATTGCTTCACTGTACCACACAATTCGCATTAATTCTGTCCCCTATTTTAAAGCCATTTATTATACGGAACACATTTTATCATCAAACGTTTTATAGAAAATGTTTGAAGTAAATATTTTTAACGGTGAAAGTTACGGAAAAAACATTATGTTTCCATGTATCTCAATGATACCCTCAGGCATCACATTATATTTTCATAATATCCCCATGCAATAATAAATAATTATCAAATCATACGGGCAGACAACGTCCAGATCACACGGCCTGCATGCTTATATGGGATAATATGAATATATCAAAAATCTGTTCATATTAGCATGATTTGGATTGAAAATATGTAGTTCACCCAATCGCACTATATTAAATTAAAATCATCCATGCATTTTACTTACACATACACATATTCTGTGCGTTGCCATTGTATAAGGTATTCGACAAAGCGGCATCAAATGAAAGGCTGGTGCATGGTCATCATAAAGTCTGCACTTAAAATTATATATTTAATTGGTGCCGGCACCGGGGATTGAACTCATGTTGCTCGAGTATATTGAGAATATACAGCGTGTCGTTACAACCGCGACTATAAATGAACACACGTCTAACGTTAAAAAAAATCTGTAATTAAAAATGTATTTTTCAAACAAACTAATTAAATAAAAAAGAAATAAAATTTGTAACTTCCTATACAGCTACAACTGACTGATTCATACATTCAGAGACTGTCTCATTCGTTGCCACAATGTCGCATTACAAGTCTCTCCTTCTAACAGTATGTTTCATCTCTTTTTAAATTCATTCAACCCATTCATATGCTTTGTGACCTTTACTAATGAATTTTACGTTACAGTTTTATAAATCAGGAAGTTCTAAAAATGTTTCATTTGTAAAATTTTATAACTCGGTAAATATTGATGATTAAATGCTTAATTGAATGCTTAATACAATTTTAAAAAGTTATTCTCTATATTTGTGTTCATTTAGTCGCAGTTGTAACGACACGCTGTATAAGCGATCGCCTATCACAGCTAACTGTCAATTTACTGAAATTTTCAATAAATTAAAACAACCACCATAATTATAACCTTAACTTGATAAATCCTCAACCGTTACATTCGATAAACCTCTAATCCTAGCAAAAGCGCCCTGACTCCAGCCAAATAAATAAATATCCTATGCATCTCTACATAGGAGATAGTTGTGGATTCAACTTGAAAGCTTATAAAATGAAATAAGTAACTGTAAGCTCTTTACGCGCAGATCGGTAAAAATGAATAATCGAAAAGATGCATGGTAGGGTGCCGAGCGCGTTTACTCTGACAAAGTCAAAGCAACGCAGTCTGTCCCGGGATTCATGGTCCATTGTGAAAGTATTTGAAACGTCGCACATGAAAACAAAATAAAACATGACCAAATCCGTAATATAGTTTTATTTAGTATTTCGTGTAAATACAAGAAATCTATGTTAAAAATAAACAATAACAACATAATGAACAAGATAATGGATGGTATTTACGGAACAGTAACTATATTACGTAATTGTTCTACGCACGAATAGGCTTTTGAGATTAATCGAATTCGACTCGTAACTGTCTGAGAAACTGCCGCCTTGTAAGGAATTCTGGGTTACGAGTCTGTACGCAACCTATATTTTATTGAATTGGAGATGTTGCTATTCCATTACTGTTAAAGAATCATAAATAAATTAACTAAAATTAATAGCGAGAGATGTGTATTATTTAAAATACCTATTTTTATTTTGCATTTGAAGTCCTTTATTCTGAATGTATTTTCTATTTTACTTCTAATACGTTATATAAAATATTTTGTATTTGTAATTTGATTAATAATTACTAATAATACAATTTCCGGAGACATCTACAAGTATTCGAATAATTGCAGCTGCCATATCACGAAAAATGTGCGTCACACTCATTACATTTAATAGCTTCAAGAGGGATTAGACTAGATCCCGAAGTAATTCATACAAAAACCTTGTATCTTGTATTAACTGATGTTTTTGCTTTCAGTCTCGAGACTATTAAAGCTTTATCTGACGCAGAACCGGTGGGCTAGCCAGAACCCACGGGTTTGGGCCCTCCGCTGTGGGTAGGGCCGCGCATGTGCTCATGCGTGCGTTTAACTACGACACGTCATCTAAGGGTCATCGAAGTTGCGGTGCGGACCGAGACCCCAATGGCCGTCGACTGTGTTTTTAGCTCATACAAAAAACTTTATGATGTAGCCATCGCAAAATGTCAAGCAGTTTGGGATCTCTGTTCAAGGTCTCTTATAAAATCTATTCAGCATAAATTGGAAAATCCCTTGCATTCAATATCTACTTACTGTAAAGGACACCGTAAATATAATTTAACGAAACTTGAACTGGAAGTTTTTAAAGAATTTGAAATAAAATTTCTCAATGATCGTGATTGACATGGTGCTGTCACTACGGATATCGTATTCTAGAGCTAATGTAAATGCAAAAAAATTAAGTATTTTTCTAATGGATAAACCTTAAATGTATTTTGAGATGTTTTATAAATTATCCCTTTTATTTTATTTTTTATCTTATCGTTATATACATTAATTCAACATTAATTTAAATTAATACATGTAACATTCTAATATAGCAACGCTAAACCCTTACAGGTGTTGCAAATGTCTTTGGGCGGCGGTTCATCATCATTTAATATCAGGTTAACCGCCTGCTGACAGCGTGCTGGTCCTTTCTTAGTGATCAAATTCCGTCGTTATGCACGATATTGTTCGGACCACAGTGCTTATTTAGAAAATGCGTATATTCACAAAATCGATATACCTAACCTCCATGGAGTAGCAAGCTCATTGCTTATATTAAATCCCATAGGACATGCATGGGACCAGCCAGGAGATGTGTCAGAACCGTTTTCCAGATTGCGTTATTGGAAGAATGGTCAAACATGAACCAAAATTATAATAAAATTTTGGGTTACAGGATGCGACATCATCTTAATAAAGTTATACGGATTAATGTGGAAAACGTAAATTGTTTAATTTTTTTTATATAAACTGTGATAACATACGTGAAACATGTTATGTGGGATATGTTGATATGAATATAGTTGAAAGTATCTAAATCCCAATTCAATATACGGACAACTGAGGAAAAAACCTATAAATAATATTTATTGCTCGAAAATTACATTTCCGAGTAGGGTTGATTTAGATTTTTAAAACAATCCAAGGTTTATGAATGGTGGTCGATATATCATCTAAATGCATCGGACGGTAAAATATATAGCCATTTGTCACCCTCGAGTTTTATGTTCTCCTCGTTGGAGTAGCCTTTGTCTTTTATTGTCTATTTGTCTTTGTTTTACGCCATTGAAGCTGATTGATTGATAATACTATTGTTTTATCTCTTAAAATATTTTTCGTCTTACATTTTTTTTACTTATTTCCGAATTGACTATTGATTAATTAACAAGCATTGCAACAATGTAATTACACATTGTTGAATAAAACAATAATTTGATTAAAATATTTACACCGTTTATGTTTCAAGTGTATAATCAAAAATTATAGTATAGTCCACTACGCGACACCACATTTTTTTTATGATTTCAAAATTATGCAGGTTTCCTGACAACTTACTCTTTACAACTTACAATTTAAATATAAACTAAAATTTCATTGGTGCTGGAACACGCAGAACACGCGTGCAGTGGTTTCTGGAGTATATTAAATTTATCGAGCGCTTGAACTACGATTGGCGTGGGGAGTAGTGACCCTGGCTCCTGCACCAGAGGGTGTGGGTTCAATCCCCACTACTGGAAAAATATTGTGTGATGAACATCGTGTTTTTCCAGTGTCTGGGTGTTTATATAATTATGTATAATATGTATGTATTTACAAAAGAAAAGTATGTTTAAGTAAGTTTTTCAGATTTCTAGTACCCATTGTACGAGCAAGCGTCGCTTAGTTGAGACTAGAGACAGGTGCGGTTAGGTTCCTCTCTGACCGTGTTCCCGCCTTATCGTGGCGAAGGGGCTTAATAGCTGTCGCTTGGTCATCCACGGTGAAGCCAAGATGATAATGCACAGGGCCGGCCCAAGAGGGCCGCCCCAAGTGTTCTCATTGAGCCCACTTTGGATGCATGCTGTGGGGTTTAGGGGACAGGTCGAGGGTGGTAGAGCAGGAGACACTCTTTGTGCCTTCTGCTCCCGAAGTGGAGTCGCGGGGGAAGAGGAGTGTCGGTATTGCATTCGGCCGCTTTCCCTGACATCCTGATGCAGTAGTGATGGGGCCGTAGGGGAGAAGAATATCGGTATTGAGATACGCCAATTGCGATTCCCTCTACTGACCACAAGGGGCTGGGAGGCTTGCTGCTTATTAACACTGGCGCTCCTAGCTTCCATGGCCTTTGGTACTTTCCCCTGCCCTTTCGCACGGCTAGCGAACTCTCCGGAGTTCGTTAGCCGTGAAACGCCGAAGAAGGAACAGTAGGAAGACGCGCTAAATGTTCCAGCGCGCTTTACGAGAAGGGCTGCTGAGGCGGCCAGTGCTGACAGTCGCCGAAGTCTGCGAAAGCGTTCCCGTGGGACTGCCAATATGTGATTAAAGTATCATCGTGGGTATTTTAGTGAGTGCGAGTCTGACATAACCTGACCTTGCTCCTGCGAAGGCGGTTTCATTCCTCCAACATAACTAAAAAAGGTTAGATTAGGTTAGAATTGTGTTTCATGCATAATATTTACTTTTATTTCCGTTTTAAATTTTTCAATATTATAAGTTTCATTCATTATCATATCATTATTATAAGTTTTATAACTGCAAAAGTTTTGTATCGAAGAGCATGTAGCGGTCAAACAAAGATAAAGTTGTGGTCGCAAAACTTGTATTTACAAGATCCCGAAAGATTAAGGTATTAGAGCATAATGGGGCAAAGTTCTAATTCAATTTATTTTATATGAACCCGTCATATACAATCAATCGACCCCAGGCTTTATTAGAAAGTATAAAGTAATAATAAAATATATAATTTATGAGTAAAGAACAAAAATAATTAAATAATACATTTTATTAAATTACTCTGCAACATCAACCTTACTCTTTTTATTTACACTTTTTTTTCTTCAATCTTCTCTGCTATGTTCAATTATATAATTTATTTGCACATCAGTTAGATTTTTCTTTTCAAAAGGAAAATAGGGATGTGCATACCACTTTGCAGGTGTCCGGAGTCTATAATTCTTATTAAATGATCCTAATTTCTTGATTTCTTCAGGAGTAAGACTGAAATCTAATATATCAATATTTTGTTCTATTCGTCCTTTATTTGTGGATCGAGGAATAGCTACGAGACTTCTATCCAACTGGAACAAAATTTTAATAACATTGAAGCCAAACTTACATCCTTACTAATATTATAAAGGCGAAAGTTTGTATGTATGGATGGATGTTTGTTACTCTTTCACGCAAATACAGGATTTTATTGAAACTTTAAAATAATATAGCTCATACATCAGATTTATGTACATATTTTATATATATCCGTCTTTCTGTCCGATTGTTACGCCTTCCGCCTATTCTAAGCAGACGTAGTTGCGGGCTGCAGCTAGATAAAATATAATAACGAAAAGAACAACGTAGATACATGAACCGACGCGGGTTTTTTCGTTATTATCGCTTAGAAAAATTAACATTTGTGTTTAGAAATTCTTAACCAATGAAATGGCTAGAAATTCCATCTAATTTAAAAAAAGGTCACGTGTCCAGTACACGGAAATTGACCTTTTTTAAATGAGATTACTTACGAATTATTAGCAGATTCACTGGATCCTTAAACAGAGAGGTACACAATTTTTTTTATTTGATGATTTTATAAAAAATATTATATTATTAACATTTCATTTACGTAGTGGAAATGTCTACACATAATACCTGCCTCAACGTAAACGCTGGCCCCAATTCCCCAAATAAGTCGTAATTTCAAGTTTAACACTAGCGATTCGCCGCGGCTTCGCGTGGATGCTGTGTATTATACATATAAACCTTCCTCGTTAATCACTGTACCTAGTAAAAAAACCTTTGCGTAGTTTTAAGTACTTTTAAAGATCTACATAGGGACAGACAAAAAGCGGGACGACTTTTAATACTATGTAGTGATGCGCACAACCGTGGGTCGTTACAAAAAGACAAAGTCAACACTTCACATTCATAATGCAATAGTACTTACCAAATACCTTAGTAATATCTGTGGCACAGTTTTATTATATTTGGTAGACAAACTCTGGAGAAATTGATCATCAGCTCGTGGTGGCGGGGCGTCTTGTTTACGACCAAGTATCGCACCAAAGGGACTGTAGGCCATAATTACAACACCGTGAACGCGACACCATTCCACTAGTTCTTCTTGCGTTATTGTGGGATTAACCTGTCAAAGGTAATTTATAGTAATTTATTTTTTTTATAGCGCTAATCTCTGCACATACGAATCAACACGATAATTTGTAGAAAAAGTACGGAAAGATTGTCGCCGCAGTGGGAATCTAACCCACGTATTCGGCATTCGCGGCCTGACGCTTTAGCCACTAAGTTAAACGGCTGATTGCCACACCAACGAAAATCTTAACCTCTTTTATCTATATTGTGTTTTAGCATTTGAAGCAGCGGCGACAATCTTTTCGTATTTTTTCTACAAATTTTAATGTTGATTCTTAAGTGCAGAGATAAACAATATAAAAAATTAAAATTTCTAAAAAGCTATGGCGACATCTCTCGTTCGAATTATCGTTGTAAAACGATATCGAAATTGTTTGGACACTGGAAAGGATATAAAAATGGATGCGCATAGCATTGCTTCAAACAAAACATTATTGATAATGGGTAAAAAATAATTAATTTAAAATTTTAAAGTTAAAAATTATTAGTAAGTTAAAAAGTATTAATGGTAGTAGACATATTAATAATAAACTTCATTAAATCTTTTAATATATCGTAATTATTCATACCTCTATTTGCAACACGGCTGGTTTTATCCTACTATTATCCCACAGACGTTGCATCTGGCTTATATTAAAATTAGAGACTCCGATTGACTTTGTCAGGTTTAAATAATAAGCGGCTTCCATTCCTTCCCAAGTCCTGAGATAGTCCGTCATACTAATGCTTCCATTTTTCTGAAAATATCAAAGAATTTTATTCAATAAGTGAAAGCAACGGCCTCGTTTAAACAAGATAGAAATTTAAAAATTGCGCTAATAAGGGATACATTTTTGATGTTTACGTGGCGATACTTTATTGTAAGGCATAAGTATCGCCTCTCATGAACGCTCGCAACAATAGTTTAGATGAAGACGCAACAGCGGAGAGTGTGTCTATATATACGCGAAAGTATAAATGCTTTAAATTCACACCGCTCACTTCTGTAATACCGTATTATTAATGCGGTCGCCGCTTACTTTTTTTTGATGTTTGCGCTTTCAGTTGGAACACCGAAAGCACAAGCAAAATCAAAAAGAGTTTCTTATATGTAAAGCTTTATTGGCCTACATGTACAGCGGAAATTGACACGTGGTCTAGCACATAGCAAATATTTAGTAGATTAAATGTAGATCTAAATTAATCTCACCTTGTACGCCATTGGATAATGCATCAGGTACAAGTCGACGTTTCCAATTGAAGCTCCTGCAGTGACTTCCTTAATGCTGGTATCACGTCCTCCTTTTCGTGAGCGTCGTTCCATAACTAAATAATTCATTGACACACTATTTTTTTTATTTTAGTTTTAGCTTGGCTTCACACACGGTTAGAGATTTTTTTTATATGTCACATAGATAAAAAATTCAAATTCCAGCTGTAGACCTTATTTAAAAAAAAACTTAATAAATTTATCATGATTATAAATAAAAGATCTTGGACTCCGCAGATACATCAAGGAACTCCTTCAAATCAAATAGAATTTAAATGAGTTTGATTTGAAGTCGGTTTTATTATTTGTTAATAAAAATATACTTGTATTATGAGGCAAGAAATATAAACAAAAGGTATTGTTCAGAAAGGTTGAAGAAATAGCATAACTACGCGCTTCTAGGCAAAATGCTTTATTTACTTATCACCTTATATTCTCCTGAAAAGAATATGCCTTAGACAAAATTTAGTTTTGTACGACACCAAGATAATATGATTTATTATTATAATACTTTCAACATTTCATTGCAACATTCTTTACTTCATCAATCGTGAAACAAATCTTGGAGTAAAAATATTGAAAGAAAAAATTAAAGTACAGCAATCAAAAATGAATACTCAGGTGATAAGTTGAGAGTGAGAAATTGAATTTGATTATCCAATCTCGAAAAACATGACACTCTGTCGGCAAGGGGGTCATGTTTTTCGAATATACTCGTATGTGTGTCCTATTCATTAGCACGCTCTGCAACCTAAATCTTTTGACGCATTTAACATATGAGGGGTCATGAAGGGTCATTAGATTGGTCTTAATTGTCGGATTAACATAGAGTATATTAGTAAAATCGTGCCCAAAAAAAAAGAAATGGCAGTAGTAAATGCAGTTTGGTTTTTTATCTCATTTAATATTTTATTGATACTTGTTTCTTATAAAAACTTTCATAGGTTTTGTTGGTCTAATTATGATTAAGACCCGCCCAAGCCATTGAAACAATTCATTTAAGAGTACAGATACATGCTTACTCCAAAGAATAAATACTTTGCCTTCGAATTACTTTTTAGCTTAGGCAAGCTTAATAACGATTTTAAAATCATACAAAGTTAATCAACACATGATATCGCAAATACCTAGATTGGTGCGGGCAAACTATATTTGACTGATTTACGGTTGATGTTTAGCACAATGAAATTAAAACGAGTACTTGGTCACTCGGGTACCACAACTCATACACAACAGAATGGCAACAACACAGAACAGAATGGCTTGATAAACATTATTTTGTAACTGTGACGATGTCAATGGATATGGAAATGTAACTCACCTTTGTCGTCACGTATATGTCGCGGCGATCGCCGCGTGTGGCATTGAGAAAGTTACGAATGCCCAAGCCCACTTCATCCTCTACGCGGTATAAAGTAGCCGTATCAATGTGTTTGTAACCGGCATTCAACGCCCATTGCACAGCACGAGCAAGGGAATGGTTCACAGGCAGTACACGGGTACCCTAGTAATCGTTTTATAACAGGTTTTATTTGAAAAATTGTTAAATGCAAAAAAAATTGCAACCTTCTACATATAATCCAATGCGAGGCAAAGACCTCCCCTGTACAAAAGGGTATCAGGGTATCGTTCACCTCGTGATCTCATTGCGGATTGGTAGACTTCACTTAAAAGTAAAAGTAAAGTAGCAGCCTGTATATGTCCCAATGCTGGGCAAAGGCGTTCTCAGTAAAGAGGGTATTAGGGCATAGTTCACCACGTGAGCCATTGGGAAAATATACGTATGTCCTCTCGATGTTTTCCTTCACCGCTGACCGAGTGATAAGTCAACACTTTTTTAAAATAAAACCACATTATCAAAAAATGCAATTTAAATTTAAATGTCATATAAACATTATAAAACGACCGAACATAGAAAATCAAATAACAGTTTAAATAATACTTATGTACATACATCAGACAGATGCCCTAAGCTGGTACCAAGGGCGATGGCTGGTATTTTATTGCCGTCGTTTAAAGGAAACGTCAACGTGCTTGCACAAACCTGTTTTAAGAAAATATTAATCAAACAACCTGTATAAAATTGAATAAATGCTGTTTGTTAATTCACAAGAAATATAATAGATATAACTTACTTCAATAACGTTTCGTAATCCAAATAGAAAAATGTACGCAAAAAGACTAAAAACGTCCATTTTTGAAGCTTATCAGCGTTGAACTAACTCTACTGAATAGCAATAACGAACAACAAGTCCAGTATATGCTTCTAAGATAAAACAATTATGTGGTTATTGAATTACGTATGAAAACAAATTTACGATTTACGCCCCCTGATTGTGATTATGTTACACCCAAACATTAGTTACTTGATAACAATGAAAAGTTAGTATTATGTCATAAAACTTTTGGGATTTCACATATTTTTAAACTAAATCGCCGCCGTCTGTAGGCAGCGTGTTCAGCAAGCTGGCCGAATTGACATTCTGTGTCGTAAAAAATATGAAATTGCTGTTTTGTAAAAAAATTAAAGTAAAGCTGTAAAAGTAAAAATAAATAAAAATAAAGCTGATATTTCATTGTTAAAAGACCATCTATCATTTATATTTAAGCATCATTAAAATGAATATTTTTATAACAATATTTTTTCTCGTTTAGTTATCATTATTTGATAATGATGAACTTAAAGGGTCACAGGCTCTTACCATGAAGACGCCTACGTTGTAATATTAAGTTTGTTTAAATAAAATAAGTTCTTATGCGGCCATTTGGCCTTTGATTATTAAGAATGAATCTGTGTAGGAATAAGCTGTGATACACGCGTCATTCAATAATGTTTATATTAATATGTGAAGAAAAACAAACGAATATGGATTATTACGCTTAAAATTTGCATGTAATATTGTTCCAAATACATTCAGATAAAAAAGTGTTTACGTTAATGTAACGTAAAGAAATTTCATAATTTCATAACTGTCTATGGTCAAACAGTCACAGAGTAATAATAAACCTAGTAATTAATAAGTTTACCTAGTAATCAATAAGTAGAGATCTCTGGTTTCCCTTCAAAACGTATATAATTAGTAGAGATGATCTCGTGGATTCTGTCATATATATATAATAGACTTATGTCTGAAATCGAGGATTTGTAATGCAAAATCTTCGATTCGGGCCGATTATACCTAGTTCAATTTAACCCCATGAAGACACAGATTTGCGTGTTTGCCGCGAGGAGGAATCCCTTCGTCGTATCTCCCACTTTTGAAGGTCTTGCCCCTCCCCTTATTGCCACCGATTCGATCGGAATTCTTGGGGTTGACATACCGTGCTGCGTTCAATTTTGCGGTCATTTGGAAGGAAAAGTCTAAAAAACAGGGTATTCTAAATCGAGCGAGACAGTATTTCATGCCGGCACATCGTCTACAGCTTTATAAAGCACAGATTCGGTCGCACATGGGCGCATTCTCACATCTGGGCTGGGGCATCGAAGTACTAGCTCCTTCTATTTGACCGTATTCAACGAAGAGCTGCTCGGATGATGGACGACGAAATCTTGTCCGATCGCCTCGACTCTTTGGCCTTACGAAGGGATGTTACATCCCTTTGCATTATCTATCGTGGGGAGTGCTCTGAGGAATTGTTCGGGTAGATACCTGCTGATGAATTTCACCATCGTTCAACTCGTCAAACCGAAAAGTACCATCGATACCACCATTTTCATGCAATTTTCTGTCCCGCACAACTACTTTGTGGAACGAGTTGTCGCCAGCGATATTACGCGAGCGATATGACTTAACCTTCGAGAAGAAATCCTACTCCCATCAAGGCCGCCAACGCAATGGCAACTCAACTGCTGTTGCGAATGTCCATGGTCGGCAGTGATCGCTTATCATCAGGTGACCCGCTTGCTAGTTTGCCTTTTTCCATTAAAAAAATGAATACAGTAGAGTATCAGTTTTCATAGTATTTCCCCACGTTCCTACCTATTTGGATCTCGATGACTGTAATGTAGCAATAACATATTCAACTACCTATAAACTTAATAAAAAACACAAGAATATCCGTCGGCGGCTGTTATCAAATGAACTATTGAACAAATGAACTACTGAATTAGTAACGTGAATAATTGGAGATATTTTAGCGCTATACTTACACCCTTAATGTGTAGGTCGTGCCTCTACATTGGAACCTTTAGAAGTTGATGATGTCCACAAATAATTTATTACACAACTAACAAAAAACTTAAGCATTGTTTATCTATTCAAACATTATCATTGAAGTTAAACTTCTTAATGTTTTAATTTTAATTCGTTTTCATTTTAATTAAAACACATGATTTACTCAATCTCATTTTATTATACAAAAAAACAGTTACAATCTTAGAGTACCAAATCATTTTGATTACGAATTAAATATAACCCGTCGTCTCTAAAATAGACATCACAGATAAAATATAGACACAAAAAATATTCTTTGCCACTTAATTCTTTTTTAACGTCTATCAAACGCTGTTTAGCTTTTTGCAACAAATTCTAAACGATTAGAACACTTAGCATGCCTGGACTCGTTACATTATTATCCGTTACTATTTCAACTTATTTAAGTTCTGAATTGCACTTAAATAAGCTTCAGATCAATTTTAATATACAAAACAACCATGCGTTAGGGTTAAATACAAAATAAAAAGTTAAATACAAAATAATAAATGCAATATATGACACAATAAAATAACATTTCAAATAAAATAACATATTATCTCTACTAGGAACCGACTAGCTATACGAATGGTAGGGAAATTATCATTTAGATTTCTTCGGGCATTATGTACTTTTTTTATCTTCTGTAAACATTGTATTAATCTTTAACTAAATTTTTGCCATCTCAATGTCTTACAGTATTGTAATCATTATCATATTCCCAATGAGTATTTAATATAAATACTTCCTAAATTTGTTTTTATTGTACATTAGGGAGAATAATATTTTTTATAATGTTTTTTATAATGCCCTTAAATATTACAAGATTTTTTAGTATTGGATAACCAAAAATACAATGTGTGTGATGTGTATAAATGTAATATTTATACACATTTACTAATCATGCTTTACTTAATGCAAAAAAATAACATTATTGCACTAAATGGAAATCTATAATTAGATAAAATCAACTGCATATTCTGTATACTTGCAACCATACAGTTGTATTTCTTACGATTTATTGTACTTACTTGAATGCTACACACTATCAAATGAAATTATTTTTACAACATCTTTTATCCATCAGAAAACAAAGACTGCAAATATTATAGTTTGATCACCCCAAATATCACGTCAAATTTGATACACTACAAAACCTCGCAAAAGAACAACGATTCCTGCCAACGATACACAATCGTAAGGCTATTAAAAGTAAGGAACATCTGAATTTCAATTTTGTCTACATTGTTAGGTTAGCTCAGACCCGAACACTTCTTCTTTAAAACACCAATCTCTGCACAAATGAAACAAATAAAAATATGAAATACAATGAATGGCCTTCGTCATTAAATTTAATACATTGATATAAAAATAAACTTATCAGATTACATTTTTTAGCAAATGCACATTCATGGAAATAAAATTAAAAAAAAAAACATGATTGACAGTAAAGCCGTGTTAAGACGATCAAAGTTTTCTTTAAAAAATAAATTTGATAGCTATTTGGACGCTTTTTTAATCGTGGCAATACCGATCAATGTACACGTGAAGACATCAGTGGACTAGACTGTCTGGTATTTAGCTTACAACATGAAGAAACAAAACCTCCTGGGAAGAGGCTATTAATATTACTATATTAAAACTGATAACTTACAAAATTACAATCTAGTAACGTATCTTAATGTGTAAAGTACCAAGGTAATTTTACCAAAAATAAATACGTGCCAAAATCGATTTATTTCTTGAAATTTGAAATTTAATCGTAAATATGTCAGCACACATTTGAGAAAAATACGTATAATAGATATTCCAAAAAAACTTCTACAAATAATGGCCTTACTTCTATAGAATATTCTTCCTTAATTATATAAAATTGAATACAAAGCAATTTTAACTTATAAGAATTATTATGATTGCGTTTTCAGAATAATCTTCATAGATATGTACATATTAATGTTTATGTGCAATAGTAGTATGAAAATTATTTAAATTGTTGAGTAGAATACAGGCTGATAACAACAGCTAAACAAAATTTTTTAGTCCGATAACCAAATACCTACGCGAGCCTGTGCACTTAGTTTATATGGTTAATTAATATATATTTACATTGTATAGCGTGGCTCACTGAATATATTTACATTGTCTTAAATTGAATACTAAGTCAAAACTTGAAAAGGGTTGTGAGATATAAAGTTTGGTAAATTTGTCAGATAGATTTGCGGTAAAATTATAATCAAAGCAGATTTCCTTAAAATGAAATTGTACGATTTGAGAGCTTGAAAGAATTTACATATCTAGTAGACATCTTTCTATGTGAGTGATTGGTATGATCATATTCGTTACTAATACTGTCGGGTTAATACTTGAGCAAACAGCAAGCTACGGATCGATACCGAGTCGAACATTTCGGATATAATTTATTTATATGCGAAAATGTGTTTTAAATAAGATACAATAATAGTAATTTTCGATATAAAAATGTCATTGAGTTATCATGGTCCACTTACGCTATTAAGTTTAAAGAATACAGAGGGAAAACCATAGTTGGGGCAAAGTTTATGTAACAACTTCATTATAATACTTTTACAAATAGCACTTATCAAAAGACCATAAATTTAAAAATCTTTCTAAAATCTTATAACAATAAAATTTGCTTGTAATTAAATGTAAAACGAAAAAACAATTGTTGGATAATACCGACCGTCAATTGTCGAAATTATGATGTTATACTTCAATATGAGAATTTTGAAGTTAAACATTAGTTTCAACTATATAATGTTATAATAACCCCCACATTTTGTAAAAACAGTCCTTGTAGATATAACAATATGAAAACTTAAACATAGTTGACATAAAAAAGAAATCGGAAAGCAAATAAACAAAACTTACGTAACAATACTTTCTGAATTTGGCTTACATATATCAAAAGTTTCGGGGAGAAATTTACATGGGCGATCCGTGCTTACATTATTAGTTTCATAGTCAAACGTAAAAAATGTTATTTATCGTAATGGATACATACGGCGGATGAACCAGATGATTTGTACAGTTCAGGTAGGAATGGGTTCAAGGGCCTTATTACACGGGGCACGTTTTCGAATATATCTCCTTTTCGGCTTTGACGCGTTGCATTAGGACGTCGCTCCAGCGATGCGCTGTACGATCCACCGTTGACGGCACTGTCAGGCATTGAACACCGCCGTATTCGCAAGCGATCTGAGGATGCAGTTATTGATTAAATTAATCTACGAAATAGCGAGAAGTTACGAAACTGACGGTTGATTCGGTCTTTCCCCATACGTGGTGTTAAATAATAATATGTAAACTGTAACAATTAGAAAAAAGACACATTTAAGTTTAATAATATATAGGTCTACATTCAATGCATGCAGGGAAATTTATGTACTTGCAGAAAACCCATACAGACAGCGGTCTCCGCATCATAGAATATATTTTATTCAAAAAAAATTATATTCTGTACAGTAAAATCTTGCAACTACTAACAAATAAAAGTAAAGCAAGGAAGATTTCTTTTGATGAGAAATTATTTTGATTCCATATGTATAAGTCACATAAAAAATAAATTAAATTTATTAGTCAAAAAGACTAAAAAAGCGACACGGCATCTAAACGTATATCTGCGTGTAGACTAATATTAAAAGTTAATACGGGAAGATATTGATACAATTTGATAATTTACTTTTCATTCTAAACTTTACACTTCACGTTTATAAGAAAGTTTACCTTCGTGACCAATTCAATTCGGAACTCAAGAAGCAGACGAAATTTTGTTCCCACACAACACACACACAATCCCACGGGGCTGGCTGCGTGTGGGCCCGTTCAAAGCTCGTGAGTGATATAATACCCCGAAAAGCCATAATCATAATCATAATCATCTTTATTTGCTAGCGTAAATTGCAAACCCCGGCAGGTTCCTGCCGATGTCAAACACACTGAAATTCTATAGGTCAGTTACCCGGTGTCGCGGAAGATTGCGTTCACGTGTTCCCGCGTCCCCGGCCGATGCGACGGAGAGAGGTGCAACGTGTGCTTTTAGTGGGTACCCGTTTCTCACCTCGACTCCCACATACCCCCGCCACTCCCCCGATCCAGTGGCAGGGGATCCATAACGGATTTCCCACGGATAAAAAAACGTCGGTTACCCGGTAGTGGTGGAGGAGAGCGCGGTCAGTGGGCACGCCCACAGAGGTGGCCCCGGGCGCGAGCTCCCACACGAAGTGGTTGCCCAGCTCGACCGCGTCGCGGGGCCGCAGCGCGTACTTGCTGCGGTTCTTGAGCGCGTGCGGCGCCGCCCAGCGGCGTGTCTTCCGCGCGGTAACTAGCGGCGCCGGCGCTTCGGCGTCGTCCTGCGATTTGACGAAGCAATCAATTTTACGCTGGTAGTGCCACGCAGCCGCCCAGGCTGTTGCACGACCGGGTAGGTACCACGACCTCACAGAAGACCGGCGTAAAGTGGAAGTGTAATGCTTTCGTCTGGTGAGTGAGATGGCCGGAGCACAATTTTCAAAAGGGTGTCAAGACATCTGGAACCTTTGGGTGTAGCAGATGTATATGAGCGTCGGTATTCACTTAAAATCGGGTAAACCGTCAGCTCGTTTGGCGACTTTTGACATAAAAAAAATCATCATTATTTTTTAAGTTTTGTATGTATTCATTGAGCTTAGACCGTGAATACACATTTCTTTTTCTTCTTCTTCTTCAATCACGATTAAAAGAACCAACACATACGCGGAGGTAGACAACCATGAGACAGTAAACTGCATGTGCTTTCACTTGAACATAACAGTAAACTTGAATCATGAAAACTTGTGCGGATCTCGGTATCCACGGCACCCTCACTGTTGGTGATGATTGCTTTTCCGACCACTCACAACTTTAAAGTATACAGCCAAATTGAAAACAGACATTTAACTTGAAAAGTCTGTTTGAAATTTTTCCTCAATATTATAGTCTACGATCAGGATCCGTTCCCCCTAGATACAACTCAGTAGCTTCTTTACAAACAAGGCAATAATTTAATTATTTTATTATATATAATATTATAATATAGTTTATTATGCTTATTTTCATATCCGGAATATCACCTGACATACCATATGACAATATGGTTTGTTTTGTTTGTTTGTTTGTATATTCTTTATTGTACTAGAAGTTTGTACAAAGGCGAACTTAATGCTAAATAGCATTTTCTTCCAGCTAACCTTTGGTGGTTGAGTACAAGTTACGGGTAGTAACGCTAAAATGACATACAAGATTTTTAGTGTCTATCATAAAGAATATGGCAAAACGGAAAGAAGGAAGCAAATACCCTTTGACTAACTTTCGTGACGTGAAAAGTCCAGGAAAGATCTTGTGAGATATGCAATCCAAGATTTTTAATCGTTTTACAAAAAGGAAGTGGTAAGCCATAAAATGTCACGGGTGGCAAGGTAAGGAAGTCAATCAGTGACAGAATTCTAGGGCTACCCACCAAGATGATTTGGGTTTTAGAAGGATTAATAAGCAGCCCGTACCGTTCCATCCAATGTCTAATATTGTCAAGGTCGAGAGACAACTTTCCTATAGTATCCACTAGATCTGCCCGTTTTGTTGTTATATATAGCTGCAGGTCATCAGCATACAGATGGGACTTGCTGTGCTCAATGATACAAGATACAGTATTTATAAATATGGAGAAAAGTAGAGGTGAGAGCACCTCACCCCGGGGGACGCCTGCAGATACATTATGTCAGTTTGAGAAACGGTCGTACACATTTATGCACTGACTTCGATCATTTAAGTAGGAGGTGAACCACTGGACAACATCGGTGGACATGTTAAGAGAGCTCAGAATGCAAATAAGTATTTCATGGTCAACACAGTTAAAAGCATTACTGAAATCTAGTAGCGCTAGTAGTCAGTTGTGTGCCATCCATACCACTGCGAATATCATCCATAATCTTGATTAGAGCCGTACAGGTGCTATGCCCTGGACGAAAGCCAGATTGGAACGGGTTCAATAGTTTATGGGATCTAAGGTAGCGCATTAACTGAAATTGAACTACTCTTTCCAGGACCTTAAACAAGAATGGAAGAATGGAAATGGGACGATAGTGAGAAAGTTCCGTAGGGTCTGAAATTTTAGGGATAGGTAAGATGAAGGCTTGTTTCCAGTCTGAGGGAAATTGTCCTGAGGTGAGGGAGAAATTTAAAATATGGGTGATAATTGGTAGGATTTGATCAAGGATGGGAATAATAAAGTCTCGGCCTATTCCGTCGCCTCCAACAGCTTTACTCGAAATAGAGACTATAATTTTCCTGACTATTGTATCGGTAACAGGCTCAAATATGAAGCAGTCACGCACATCACGCGCCCTAGACATGATATCCTGAATAGCCAGCCTCTATAAGGAAGTTATGGTGTTTTACCTTAGGGTTCCGGAGGTACAGTTTTGACACATTATTTATATTAAAACTTGTAGAAAAAGTACGAAAAGATTGTCGCCGCTGTGGGAATCGAACAAATGTCTTCGGCATTCGCGGCCTGACGCTCTAGCCACTGAGCTAAACGGCTGATAGCCACAGCGACGAAAATCTTAACGCCTTCCTTCTACATTGTTATTTAGCATTTGAAGCAATGCTTGGCGCATCTATTGTTATATTCTTTCCAGCATAAAAATAATTTCGAATATCGTTTTACAAAGATAATTCGAACGAGAGATGTCGCCATTGCTTTTTATAAATTTTAAAAGTTTTTTTATAGTGCTAATCTCTGCACTAAAGATTGAACATTAAAACATTATTGATGAATATAAAACATTATTCAAAAACACGGGTTCACGTGAGTCACTCCGGTATTTTTTCCAAGTAAATAAACGTGTAAACGCTCCCGTCGCTATAATCGAGAAGTTTAGACTGGTTAAAACGAGAAAGTCGTTTCTTAGTGAATGTATATATATATACTTGTATCATAAAATAAAAGTAGCATTCACAAACAACTTTGTGTGTACAATATCAAACATTTTGTAAAAGCCTCAGAAAATAATTAATTGAGGACAAGGATGTGTGTGTAGTATATGACTCTTGCTCTGCATTTGCAAGTTGGCTGTTGATTTTATACATAAATAATTTTGTATATTTATAATTTATAACAATAAAAACGTTATTATTTTCCATATTGTGATCATCGTTATTATGTTCCAAGTGTGATCATTTCCATTGCATTCTCACCTCCCAGCGCAGGTAAAAGAAAGCGTTCCTAAAGAGGAAAGCCGATGGCGCCTTGGAGGGCGGGATGTAGGCGGCACGGAGAGCTGTGAGCAGAGCGGCGAGGGTGCGTTCGCGCCTCGGCACGACCACTTCGTCCACGTCGATCACGAGCAGCCAGCCGGCGGACGACATGGAGCGGTACAGGCAGTCGTTGAACGCGGCGAACTGGCCCTCAGTTCTGCAACAACCGCGTTTGATGCTCCTTTTAGTAATGCACCGCATACTAAAGTGAGGGGTGCGAAAGTGGTAGAAAGTGTACAGCGAAAGAATCTAACGGTTTATCGGTGTCGGTGTGCATACATTAAATAATGAAAACAAACAATACTACGTGTTGAACTTGAACGCCAGAGGGGGCCCGATTTCTAAGGAAGTACTGTGAATGAATCGGCCATCTCTCTCTGATGTGCACCTTCTTCTACCAGATACGCGTCTTCAGTTTAATGTACAAGTCTTTTGGTATTGCTGGTATACTCTGGACACGGATGCCTGACTCATGTTTAAAAAGCGAGCCACTTCTCGCTGACTCTGGCTTTGTTCCGATAGAGCAATCGTTCGAGCCACTTCTTTAAAAGTAGTGTCCATTTTTAGGCATGGTTCGTGTTTAAATATAAGAAATTAGTATACCGGTTGCCGTTTAAGGGCTAACTGATAAACGGCTAACTGACGCCAACAAACAAAGACTAATTTGCGCTGTTAACAGGTAAACAAATGATGATTAGTAATAACAGCACGTTTTTGAACATGTTCTTGGTAAATATAACATTTGCTTACATTATTAAGAAGTTAAAACATATAGTTTTATTAATTGTCACCATCGGAAATGAGTGTTGTAAAAGATTTAAAAAAAAATTTGTAGGTATAACTATGAAATCTTCATATATATGAAATCTTTAACAAATGCCCGCCTTTTAATTTCTGTCAGTATCTAGGTTTACATATGTATATGCCCATATAGTCATACTGGAGTAAAGTCCTAGAGCGATTAGACACAATTTATTTTTAAATATATAAAACCTTAAGCTCCACTATTCGGAGCTTAAGGTTTTATATATTTAAAAATTCATGAACTTAATTCATGTACTTTTCATGTACTTAAAACGCTTGCACAATCACATAGTCTGTGACAAATTTTACAGGTCATAGGTGAGAAAGGTAATTGATGTAGTGCTGCTTATTAGCACTGTCTCTCCTAGCCTCTGGTCAGCGAATTTAGGGGGAGCTCATTGGCCGTGAAAATGGGGCCGAGCAGGAAGGCGCGCTGAATTTTGCAGCGTGCCTTACCTGGGGGAGAGGAGAGGTGCTCTCTGAGAAGAAGCTGCTAAGGCGGCTAACGCTGGCAGGGTTGTGGAAGTGTGTTAAAACCTGGATGGAACATCGTGAGGGTTTAAAGCGGTGCGAGTCCGACACAAACCGTCCATGCCGTATATACGTAGGCATTTCCCCCACCGCAAGGTTATATTTATAATATAATTATAATAAGAGCGACTTTACTTAAATTTTTATGGCTGATTTTAATAAATGTTTATAAAATACGACTAAAGTAGTATCAACATCACAACTTCTGACAGACGCTTTAAAGCGCAGAGAGAAATATAAACTTTACTTATATTCAAATTGAAAAAACTATTACAAAATTATGTTTCATCTGCCAGACAAATTGTAAGGACCGAACATGCTCTCGCCAAAAAGGTCTTGCACTCATTAACAGCTAATATTATTAGCTCATATTAGACTAATTTTCACGTCTGGGAGGATGTGCTGTGCAATTGTACAATTTGTTTGGCAGATGAAATATAATTTTGTAGTAGAATATTTTGAATAAAATATTTGAAAATCAAAAAATTTAAAGATAAGTGAAGTGCGCTTTAAAACTTCTGTCAGAAGTTGGTGTCAGCGGAATGTGTCTGGCGATACTGGATAGATATTTCATAGATTTAATTTTTATATATCTAAGATAGATCTCCACATCAGATACAAGAGATATATTAAAATTACCCATACAAATTTGAGTAAAGTAGCTCTTATTTTTACTCACCTTTATCAGCTAATATGTGACATTTCTCACATACTCAACTCTTTTAGTGCGCAAGAAACCTAAGTACATGAAACACAACTCAAAACGTAAAGTTTCATCTATTTAAAAATAAGTTATGTCTAATCGCTCTGGGATCTTAGACTAGCAATTTTTTAGTCTATAGATAAGAAAGATACCTTAAAATGTTCACTGAAGAAGATCGGCCATAAAATCGTTGCCGAGCTAAAATGACGATTCGTGTTCCGAAACAATTTCAAGTTCACAAACTACGAATTTATTTTAGGCCCATACGGTGACACCATATTCAAACTTTTTGATTTATCACGCAATATAAGAAAAAGTTATAATAAGTTTGTGAGACGTCTCGTGAATAGCATAGTTCTATAACATATAAAGGTCTTCAAAAGTGTCATTTTTGAAATAAATAGAGTAACAGTATTTGGTATTAAGCTTAGTTCTTAAAACAAGTCAGCTCTGGAGTGTGTATAAAGTCCATACGTACGTATAAAGTCTAATTTATAAAATAATAGGATTTGCTTAAAAATATTACATACTATTACGTTACTTATTACAGTTACATACAACTGCTTGTAGACTCTGCGTTCTGTCATGATCACTTTATTATATTATCCATACTTATGCAGGTCAGGTAATTATCCAGACCACCGCGTCCCAAGGCGGTTCTCGCCGCCCCTAGCTAACGATTTATACAGTCATTGGCCATCGGGGTCACAATCCCTACCGAGCCTTGATAGCCCGAAGGTGTCTGGCGATAGGTTCTCCCAAATAGACATCACATACATGAGCACATACGCGGCTCTGTCCATCGAGGAGGGCCGAAGGAAGCTATAACAATTCTGCATTCGATGACGCTTTCATAGTCTACGGACAAAAAAGCATCAATCATCACTACATAGTATATAACAAAGTCGTCCCGCTTCTGTCTGCCTCTATGTATGCTTCGATCTTTAAAACTACGCAACGGATTTTGATGCGTTTTTTTTACTAGATAGAGCGATTCAAGAGGAAGTTTTATATGTATATTGCATCCGTGCGAAGCCGGGGCTCGACGTTAATATAAAGATAATAAAGAATCTCCTGACCTTATTTCCACTTTAGAAACGATCGGAAGTTTCCACGGCAGTAGCGTGACTAGGCCCTGCTTACGGTAATGATCCAGTAAGCAGGCGACTGGGGCACTCAGCGACTCGTTGTACATATAAAAGTGGCTAACTCCCAGCAGCCGGTTCAACTCGAACCATTCCACCAACCACTCGTCGCGTGAGTACGAAAAGTGGAATGGCTTCACGCAAACATGCAGCGTTTCCTGGAAGAATAAAAAATAAAAACTATTAACTTTTTTAACTTAAGTATGATTACGAACTTAAGTATTTTAATTAGGTTTGTTGCAGTTCGTCTATTTGCTCGTTATCTATTTGCATATGTCTAAATGGTAATTAATTTAGAATATCACTTTATTTATATAACTTCATCCAAAGATTTCGTTAAGATATAGGCGGTATGTCGGCTCTGATAAGTGACGCAAACTCATCACTATTTAAAACTGAATACCTTTATGATTGATCACTACTAATGCGAAAGCTAATGTTTTTTTTCTTAATAATTCGGGAGACATACATACTCTATCCTTTTTTACGGATCTCATTAAATCAAAAGCAGTATGAGAACGTAGCTCTACGTAGAGCGTAACCGCAACTTTGGTTATTATTCAGCATTAAAAACGAGCAATTTCATCAAAAAGTAAAGTTTCAGCTAGTCAAGTAATGCTACCATAAAAATAAGTAGAAGAACCAAAATAATTTCGACCGAGAGAACATTATCTAAGTTTTCTGTCACTTACTTCAATACCGCTCTTGGGTTCCGTGTCGAGTACCGTCAGCAAGTTGGTGGGCGGGCGATTAGGCGACGAGTTGGCAACAACCGACAACGAGGCGCCGACCGTTTCTTGCGGCTTCACGCCCGAGTCGCGCAACAGACACAGCACATACGTCGCGCTGTACTTCAGATTCCAATTCTCTCGAATTGGCTGGAACGCAACCAAATGAATTGCTTTTATATTAAATTAAAGATCGTTCATAATAAAATTGTCATCACCATCATCATCATCATTTCAGCCTGTCGAGTCCACTCATGAACATATGCCTCCCTCGAAGCACGATCCTGAGCTACCAGCATCCATCGACTTCCCGCACATTTGCACAGGTTACGTCGTCCTCGTCTATACGAGGTGGCCAATTCACGGCTATAGCTCGAGAACCTTCCTTACCCATCGGTTAAAATCAATATTTACTGTTTTCTCAAACATAGACTTTGTAATGGTGTCAAACATTGGAAAGTAACAAAATCGGTTTATTTTATTCAATGTTAAAGTATATACGACAATGTAATATTTTATGTAGTTTTGCCTACACGATATTATATATAATGTTAAAGGAAATATATATAAACTACACATAAATATAAACGAAAATATAAAATGAACATATATAATATAAACTAAACATAATGTTAAAGTAAAATATGATTACGCCTATTTTTCAAAATAAGGTGTTCCATATAGTTCACGAATTAGAAAGTATGACCATTTTCCAATCTAAAATCTACTACTATATGCCACAGTATAAACTAAACCTTAAATATAATTTTGCATGTAATTAGGAATTATTGGCAGAAGATAGTATCTTGCCGAAGTTTACGTTCATGGCAAAACAAATTAAATTAGCATCGAACTTTGTACAAATACTTATTTAGTCACATATATGCGTATCTATATAAAATATGAGTACCGTTATATTTTTATAAAGCTACTTATATTTTATATAGATTTATAAAGCCTAAATACAGTTTGCGTTGCTTTTAAAAAATATATTCTAATCAATTCATAATGTCATGTTCAAGTATCAACTTTTATGAAATACTACCTGCGGTAACTATAATTCAATAACTATAATTACCATTATAAATATTGATGAACATGAACGAAATAAAACTGATTCGTTACTTCGACTCATATTAGTATTTTTTTGGACTTTAAATCTAATAAACTGGAATGCAAGTAATGCATTTTCTTTATTATAAAATGCATTCCGTGTTTTCTAGACCAGATCTCTTTTAAAGTGGAATTTCTCCACTCTAATCTTAAACTACACCTGACAGGTGACTAGACTTTGCACTCATGTCTATATTGAGACTAAAATAACATGGCAGCTTTGAAACGAATGTTTGGGGCCGAGGGTCTCGCTCACGTTTCAAACTTTCTATCTCTAGTCCCTTGGTACTTTCATGATAATAAGCATTTTTTTTTCACCTTAATTTAGTACAGATTCGGACGCCAAATATATATGTGATAATTTTACATTTTCTTTGCTAAATAAAAGCCTTGTGAACAAATATCAGTAGTACGTAGGCTGTTTTATCCTTGATTTATATATATTACTAATCCATGATGTACTCATGTATTAGCAGCAGATTGGCAATCTTTAACTCAAAAGATGAGCGGCTGTAATCATTACATATATAACATTAGAAGCCAACTGCTCGCTTTCTACGCTTTCTTTCTAACTTTTCGCTTCTTCTCTCATAAATAATGATAAACAATACCTTAACTCTTGCTTTCAGTGTAATGGTTCTGTTATCAGGCAACCACATGCGACAGATTACTGCGTCTGCGCCTCGTGTCTTCGTCGCTGCTATGACTCTCACTGCAGCCACCGTCCGTCTCTCCACATACGCCGAGTATACGTAAAATCGAAACCTGAAACAATTTATTTCTTCTTTAATTACTAGGTACAATCATTGAACCATGAAAACGTATAAGTTGGCCCTAAATTAGTAAAGAACTACGGTTTAATAGATTGGTTCCGTGTCTACCTAAAATCCTATACATATTATAACGTCAACCCTTGCCCTGAACGCATTTTCGGTTTCTCTTATGCTTGTTTAACATTGCAACGAGCAATAAGCCGATTTTATTCTGTTTTTTAGTATTTCAAAAATAAGAAATACTTTATCAGACAGACAGACTGGTGTCGTCCCGTTTAACCCTTTGGGTATGGAACCCTAAAAAAGACTGTCACGAAATTCAAATTTTAAAAAGTCAGTGCATGAGTTGGAGGAAAATAATAATTCACAAATTTAAAATTACCATGGAATATCGACCAATTAACAACTAATATTTCTACTAGATAGCTTTAAATAATGTTTTAGGTTATACGCCACTGGCACAACTGACAATACCTTTTGTTGAGGATTACGATAATATTGACTTTTAGAATTAATGTTTTTCATGTCAAAGACGGATTGTAATTTATCCAAATTCATCAACGAGGTTCTTAAATAACACACTGACCGATAAACTCGGGGCAATGGAGTTGTGTGCAGATGTTGTTATTGTTCATATTAGTTATCCCGAAATACTTATTTATTTAGGCAAAAAAATATCAAAAATATCTTAAGGCCGAGGTAATAAAACGCTTTACTTTAAATACCTTTTTCTAAAGAGCAAAGCAAAACATTGTTAGACACAAACGAAATACTGTAACGAACTCTAAGTTAAGTGTCCCATATTGTTTCGGAATAATCTTGCAAAATATCAATACTGATGACGGCACGGTCGTCTGGTATCGATCATTCAAGCTTGTGTCGGACAATTTTACACCACGTGCACATTCATAGCGAATATGGCGCATACCGCAGTATATCATTTGTCTACACACATTACGGTGTGAAGATATGTAAACTGTGTTACAAGAGTATAATAAGTTAGTAGAAATAGAAAAACATTTTATATTTTATACCATCAACATTTTATACAAAACGGAGACATATAAGTTTTATTATCATTGTATGAACTTTTTTATCTAGTCCAAAATTTACAAAGGACAGAATATGTCGGATCTGCTACATGTACACAGCACAAAGTAATAAAGTAATGTAAAATATTTATACCCCAAACAAAAACCACTTAGATCATCCAATTCATGGACTTAAGCCCATCCAGCGTGACTTTCATATTAAACTTTGAGGAATAAAAACGTAACTTCCGTAAATACAAATATCTGGCTCAAACGTTATTGCAAATATCTATAAGAAATCATGTAAGGATCTTAATTCGATGTACTGTGCATAGCCTGTGAATATATTAGGAATCATAGGTGCTTAAAAGTCCAAGAAAAATTATCATCCCTGGTAATCAAAGAAAAAGAAATACTTATACTTGCAATGTACTCCTAGCGAACCTAATCAATAAGTTTGAAGTAACTTTATCAATGTCAATCAACAACAAATACATTAAAATTGCTAAAACGTAAACATTCTACAATATTTGTAATCGATTCGGAAATCGATAATAATAGCATGTTGGCTGTATTTAAATTTTGCAACCGTCTCATGTTAATTGGCAGTCTATAAATAGAACTAATAAAACCATAGAAAATTATTACTGTCCGGATATTTTGATAGAAATGATTATAAATTATTGTTATCTTTCATAAAACATAAAAGTTATAAATGTTTTCTTTATTTCATTCCATTTATATAAAGATTTGTGGCAAGAATTGAAAAAGAAAACAATCCGGTCCTCTTATTTTAGACACATGTTCATTTTAGGTTATATGTACCTAAAAATGAGCATGCGGAATGAACACTAGTCACTGAAATTGTAAAGACCCAGAATTGAAAAAGAAAAAAAAAGAAGTAGGTACACAAAGAATGAAAATGATCTAAAACAAAGACCGTTTTGAAACAAAGAACCTCTGGGAATTTTAATTTGAAAAGCAAGTCAAACGACGGCTTTTAACGCAAAAGATATTTTACAATCAATGTACTGAAACTTTTTTAGTCATAAATAGTGAAAAATGTTTAATTCGTTCGACTGGTGTAAAATAGTAAGTCAGACATTTTCTTGCGTGGGTTGGTAGGGACTACTACTGGAAAAATATTGTGTAATTGAACATATTACTTTTCTAGCGTCTGGCTATTTTATATCTATAATGTATATATTTTTTCAAAATAAAAGCATAATCATTTCTTGTTCTAACCCCGATTCTGCAAATTATCAAATTTAAAAAAATTACGGATTTTCAAGCATTTAGTTTTGAAATTGAATATATTATATTTTTACTGCTATTCCCTGCACTTAAAATTATTATCAAAATATAATTGTTAAGATTGATGGTTCGCGAGTTAGTGTATGGTCAAGATTGAGTTCTGAGTGTACTGTTAATTATATAATAGCTAAAGGCTACTTTGTTTCTTGTTTATAAAAATAAGCTGTGTATATGTAGTGACGGAGGTCACATTTTTAGATATGCAGAACAATAGCTGTGTCGAGCTATTGTTTTTGCGGCTAAGAACTGGAAACGTACTAAAATCACGATTGAAGTGGGACTGGCTGAATACAAATCCTTTTTCACTTAATGTTCATAAAAGTAACTATATTTGTTTTAGCAAGAGCACCCAATCCTCCCTTGATTTTCGAATAGTTATCCATCAGAGTGATAAAAACTCTGCTTTCACTTGCTCATATATTGAACTTAAAAGAGCTTAACTAGTACAAATTACTTAGGTCTTAGGCTTGATCTGCGATTGGCATGACATGATCACAATGAACTTCTTTTGATTAGAATCTGAAAACTTATATGGACATTTAAAAAAGTATTTTAAATAATTTATTTTGACAATTTTGAGCAGGACTATTTACATTAAATCGGTATGAAAAAAGAATAAACAAAAATAATACTATATGAAAACTAAAAGTAATACTGAAGGACTTATTAAACGTTTCTCCGTTCAGTTTCTTTTTTCTTTGGTATACTAAAACAAGCTTTTATATGCAAAAGTAACCCAAAAATGTTAGATAACATTACAGAAAGTTATTGAAAATTTGCGCGACATCATTGATAAAGATTTAGAAATCATTTTTTCTAACGATTTGTAAAACCATCAAATAATTTCATCAGTATTTATTATAATTCAGACAAGTTCGTGAACCATGACAAATATATATATTAGACTAGAGATATTCCTTAATGAACATAATTTATTGGGTTTATTATATAGGGTATTAAATGTTACTAAAATATTTTAAATTGATCATTCAAATGGCAAAACCTTTTCACAGGAACGAATTGAGCCTAAGTTACGCTGGGCTGGCATGGATTTTCCACAAAATTAAGGACCAATGAAGCGAGAATTTCTGCGGCGCAAAGTTTATTTAAAACCTATAAAACTTCTAGCTCGTTATTATAAATATTTTCTAAAAATTGCGAGGTAAACCCGCATGCCTTGCTCAAAGAATCATAATAACATGATCGGAAGATTCATCAAAATAACATATATGAAACTGTTTTTAATAATTAAGACACAATTTTTCTTAATCTTTTTACCTAAGCCGATGCAACATACCTTATACAAGAAATGTATATGTATATAGTAACTAAAAAGCTTATCCTCATGCCGGATTTTCCTTTGTTTTGTGATAAACTATAAAATACGTTAAAAATGAAATTCTATTTTACAAAATGTGTAACCAATAATGAACTTCACTCACCAGAAGAAACGCGAAAGTGTTAAACTTCCACTTGACGCCGGACTTCTGTGAGGTCGTAGTACTTACCCGAACGAGCCTGCGCATTCGTGCAACAGCCGAGGCTGCTGCGTGGTCCCACCACCGTATGATTTTCACGTAGAGGAGGTATAAAAGTGTAAATGACAAGCTCTAGATCACAGAAATGTCTGAGAAACTTTCAGAAACGTTACATGAGAGTAATCACATGTCAAGTTACAACTTTCTTTAAATAAATACACTGATTATTAATGTAAATAAGACAGACCTCAAAAACTTTTCTTCTAAACTCTTTATATGTTAAATACTTATTACGTAGCTCGATTTAGTATATGAAAAGATAGACCGATCAATCATTCCGTTAATATGAGGCAATTTTACGCTTTATGCGCATTCCCGGGCGGATATGAAACTACCTACAATCCTGTCTCCCACGATGTGCTTCGGGAAATGGAAAAGCGATGAGTTTACGTTGACGATAGTATGACTTATAGTGCCAGTCTCTTCATTGCTTCGAAATGTTTATATTTCAGCGGACCAAAACCAGGCAACGTTAGCAAGGCTTAATATTTAAATTTGAAGTTATATTGTTAATACTTTTTAAGGGAATAATTGTACATTTCTATTCGTCGCTTAGGTTATTGTATATAAATAATGTTATTAATTTAAGCTCTTAATGAAAAATAATAATGTTGATAGAACTGGATTTAATAATAAAAATTTATTTATCTTTTTCAAAGATTACAGTTAATTTAGTTACAGTTTAGTACAGTATTTCACTTTCTCAACGGTCTCCATTCCATAATACATTGTAATAAACTTCTTAACCATTACTGGCTTTTTTTGGCCAAAAATAGTATATTTAAATAGTAACATTTGTTTATTATGCTCACAGTAAAACGAGCACAGTTTTTATGGGCACATAACTCGAGTTCTCGGTGCAGTGATAGGATATACTTCCACTCAACTCATTTCAAACACTCACAATTGCTCGGAGCTCGATTTGATAAAAACTTTTCTAAAGCTACATTTACATGTTTTGAAACAATATAAACCAGAAGTTAAAACAATTTCATAAACAACTCCTGGTACCAAAAATTGTGTAAACACTCTGTAATAAATCATGGTTTAAATTCCCTGATTTCTAAGATATTGTTTATAACATCACCCTCTAAAAATATATCAATAAA